GTCAAAGCTGACTAAAAGTGATCGAGGATGGATAATTTCGACGAACTTGATGAACCTGTGATATCTTCTTCAGGGTGAAAAAGGAAAATACAAGCTGAAACGTTTTCACGGAACCTTGCAAAAGCAGCGCGTCACAATGGTGAGGGAAAAGCTCCGTGTGTATTGCGTGTAATCACATCCATACAGTTTATGATCACAACAACAACAACGTTTGTCAGGCATCTACATTGTCATCTGAGGAGATTACAAAGATTAAACGAGTGTTTTTTTTTTTTTAACTAAAACATTAAATTTGGAGTTATCTGCTTTTGCCAAAAAATGACTGTTGGAGTTATCTGCTTTTGCTATAAAACACATTTTTTATGTGTAAAAAAAAACACACTTTCACTTAACTTTAATTTTGTAAATTACCTGTATTTGTTTAAGTTATTATTACTTAATCAAAACAACCCAACTGCAGTTTGATTGATATTACTTGGAATGCGCAATAACAAAGCGTGATTTTTTTGAAAAGAAAAAAAAAAGAAAAATTAAATGGAGTTATTGGTTTTTGCAAATTAACTCTTCATATTCATTTGATTGGAAATTACAGCCAGAAAACATGCAATGAACATTTTCACTTCTCTTTAAATGACTATGAACAAAGTAATCTCTTTCTGGTGCAAGATTACTGCATGATTTACAAAGAGTTTGTATTTGTATTTGTAAGGCTCTGGTCTCTTCAAAGATATAATTTGGAGGACATCTCCTTCACTTACATAAATGCTTAAATGCAGTGTTGAGCAAGCTACTTGGAAAATGTAGTGAGCTAAGCTAACATTACTTTTTGCTAACATTGTTAACATAGTTACACAGTTACTCTTCATTAAATGAAGCTTCACTACACTGAACCTATCCTCCTGGGAAATGTAACAAGCTAAGCTACAGCAACATGGCAAAGCTTGCTACATCTATAAGCTATTTTTTTAAATTTCGTTTTTATATTGAACCATCATCATACCAAGTCAATGCTCTCTCAGTGATCAATAAAACTGTCAGTCAAGCATATAAATTCAGTTTAATTGTTTATTAAACCAGGGGTTTTCAAACTGTGGGTCGTACAAAAGTCACTTGGCTGCAGCTAAATTTTAATTGTCATTTTCAATGACACACACACTTACACAGTTCAGTCTAGGGCTGCGCGATATACCAACATGAATTACGAATTGCAATATTCTTAGTGTGATTTTTGAATCGCAATTAAGTCTGCAGTTTAAAACATTAAATTAAATTTAAACAAAATTAACATGCGTTGCGTGTTTTAAAGCGCGGGCACACACGAGTTGTAATAACAGTGAGGGACGTCATTATTTAAAAAGGCTCGATCGGTCCGCGTTATTAATGAGAAGAAACTCGTTCACTTCAATGCACTATTCTGCATGAGATTGCATACACCGGAAAATTCAAATATTACGAAAACTGTTTATATGTTAATCTATAGAAAGCTTTAAATTACTAAACGAAATAAAACAAATCGAAAACAAAAACTATTTCATTATAATCATAATCCGTAAAGATGCACTTCTCTGTAAAGGCGCGTCTAATGAGGAGATGGCGAGTCAGGATCGGCAACTTCATCCTTGCAACAGAACTCAGAAAACACTAGTTTATTAGTAAATAATTCAAATATCTCCTTTCTATTTTCCCCTGACACATTCATGGTAATTACTTTTGCTGGGGATTTGCGGCAAGCTTTAGCCTATTGCGTGCATTTGAACGCAGATCTCTTCAGCTGCGCTGCCGGCACGCTCGCTGCTGCTGGACACTAAACACCGTCGAGCCGCTCTTGACAGTCGCGGCAGCACAGTTTCGTGTTGTTTCCACCAGCGCGGCAATTTTTTTTTTTTTATCACTAATTTATTTATTTGAAAATATAAAAATAAGGAGAAGCCTAAAACAGTACCAAGGCCTAGCCCGCGTCTGAACTATGACGTGAAAATTGGCCCGAAGCCCGGCCCTAGGGGCGTAAAAAAGTCGGGGCCGGGGCTGAAATGCAGGCTTAACTATTATTTACTTACTATTATGAATAATTTACATATGTAACTTGGAGTAATCACTTTACATTACTTTTATATTGTGGTACTTGGATTACGTTACTGAATACTTTAAGTAATTTGTAACTGTAACTGAATACATTTTAAAAGTAATCCTCCCAACCCTGCACTACAAGAGTTAAGCTTGATTCATAATGCATCCTCCATTGTGACCCTGTGCGCTCCTCTAAGCTGTCCGGCCGGATGATGCACTGCCTTTGTTATTGTCGGAACCTTTGTTCCGACAATATCACGTTATTAACAACCCTTTAGAAAATGTAATCCTTTGTGGATCCTCCTGATCTGTTCGTTGGTCTTTCTCCATGTTTCTTTGACAATTGCCGCGTCTCAGTCTCACGTGCTGCACGTGATATAACCACGCCCACTTATTTGCATTTTTTGGTATACACGATAAAAAAATCTGTTACTGTAGAAATTTTATTCCACGGTAAAAATATATACCGTCATACTGCGCAACCCTACCGGTGACTGTTTTTCGCAATACCCAAAAATACATTGTATGGGTCAAAATTTTTTTTTTCCAAGATATGAGTTTTTTTGAGAAACTGTCATGTTTCCATTGGGCGTATTTCAATTCGCAATTTCAATTTGCGCAATTTGAAGGGTAATGGAAACGCGCCTATTGTTCTTCCCTGTTTCTGTCCGATACCCACTTTTGTGTGGAGTTGCTTTATCAATTAATTTATCACAGCCCTATCTCAATGTGAACACTCAATGTGAACACGGTTTCTCTCCAGTGTGGATCCTCTCGTGTGTTTTCAGATGTGATGACTGAATGAATCTCTTCTCACAGTGTGAACACTTATAAGGTTTTTCTCCAGAGTGAATCCTCTCATGCCGTTTCAAATGTTCAGATAAAGTAAAAGTCTTTTTACACTCAAAGCACATGTACTCTCTCACAGCAGTATGTATTTTCTGATGTACTTTCAAATGTTCTAGACGTGAAAAACTCTTTCCACATAAATAACATGAATGTGGCTTCTCCTTTGTATGAACTCTCAGGTGTTTCTTCAGGACTGAAAACCACAAAAATGTTTTGCCGCATTGATCACATGTGTGCCGCTTCCCTCCAGTGTGGATGTTCATGTGTCCCTTAAGGTTTGATGATTGAGTGAAACTCTTCCCGCATTGATCACAAGTGAATGGTTTCTCTCCAGTATGCACTCTCATGTGTGCTGAAAGGTTTCCTTTTTGTGTGAAACTCTTCCCGCACTGATCACATGTGTACGGTTTCTTTCCAGTATGAATGTTCATGTGTTTCATAAGGTTTGATGATTGTGTGAAACTCTTCCCGCACAGATCACAAGTGAACAGTTTCTCTCCAGTATGAACTCTCATGTGAAGCTCAAGAGTACGTTTGCATGTCAAACTCTTTCCACACTGAGTGCAGGTGAAATATTTCTTGGCTCTTTTTTTCTTTAAATATTTCTGTTTGGGGGTTTCTCTACTTTTGACATGATTTTTCTCCTCAACTTCACTAAATTCTTCTTTCTCATTATCTTCAATCAACTCTGAAACAAAAGTAAAAAAAAAACTAAAAACAGTACATTTGTCAATAACTTGTTAAAAAAATACAGAAAAGTGAAAGGACATAAAAATGAACCCTGATATAACAGCGGAAAGTAGACAATTGCATTACAAAATTTTTATCATTTTTATGTAATTTTATAAATCCCTGAATCTTTCCATGAATGAGGTACACTGCTTTTAAAATTATTAGTTTTCAATCAACACAAACACAGCACACCTGAAAAATAGTCCAACAACACGGTCGAATCCAAAATATACAAATATGCAATCACTATCAGTACTTGCTAAATATTGCAATTTATTGTTATAAGCACAAGCAACATTTCGGTCCACTGACCTTCATCAGGCATAAATTATTAGTTTTAAAATATTATAAGCACAAATCTCATGTTTCTATAGAGATAGCTATTAAATATGTTTGATAAACATCATGAAGGATCTGAGGATCCATAAATGCAAACTGTGTGTTGCATCAAGAGAGCAACCATACATTTGTGTTGTTTTTATTTTCTTGTTTTTATTAATTTATAATCATTTATTTGTATAATGATTTTATGTAATAATTTATGTAATTTATTGTTTGATTATTTTTTGTCATTTACCATTTATATCATTTTATTATTTGACTATTTATTCATTTATTATTTTATGTTTTTATATTTTTATTTCTTATTTTCCTTGTTTATGTATTTTCATTGCTTAATCTGATTATTGTGAGGTTTAATTAACTGTTTTGTCTGAATGAGACAAAAAGAGATAAGAGGGAATGTTAATGGAAACTCAAAGTTTATGGGATGTTATTGTGTTTGGTAAAACACTACTTGGATTTGTGCTGGTCAGATGAAGTCTGAGCACTGAAACATATGCAACTAAGATTTTTCAATAAACGTTGCTCCTTTTTATCATCATCACTTCGTCTCCTGCTTCTGCTCTTCTCTGGCTTTGCTCAGTCATCTTCTAGGCTCATAGAAGACTATTAATACAGTTTTGGTACCAGACAAGACTTGATGCTAATGGGTTTTAAAACTCTAGTCTATCACATCCAGTTCTCAAAAGTATTGTGAACAAATGTTCTGTATGAGTTTTATGGCCTTATTTTAGTAACATAATTTAACATTTTCACTAACCACGCATAAATGTTTTATCAAAAACACAAACATGTAGGTTATATTCATGATGCCAGCTGCCTATGTATTATTGTAGCACAGTTTGTGCTGATTACAGAGTCATTAATATGTTAAGATACTGAAAAAAGCACAAATGTCAGGGCACGTCAAAACCCCTGAAAAGCGATTGGGCTAGTTTTGAGTAGCAATTGGACGGGTTTTGCTGTGAAAACCTGGCAACCTTAAGAGAGGGAAAGAAAGCTGCAGGAGTCAGAACAACTTCTAGTTATTGTTTTTAGAAGAACGGTAAGCATAAGCGTTCTTAACCCTTTGCCTCGTAAGTGTCAGAAATACCAGTACTAAGTGGATACTTGTCACTAATGCCACTTAACCCATTTCAGTTTGTAATTTTTGTATATACTTACTGTTTCATATCAATGTAGAGGTCAATGTGCAGTACTGCCAATGCTCACTTTACTCAGATTACTCAATGTGCAATATTATGACTTGTTGTATATACTTTTATAATTGTACTGCACATAGTCTATAGTCTTATTTATTGTCTGTGGTTATATGTTTGTTTTCTTACACCAGTCAGGAGCAGTGCTCTTAATTTCATTGTGTGCAGAAAAATACAATGACAATAAAGGCTTTCAATTCAATTCAATTCAATTCAGAAGCTTTATTGAGAAATTTAAAACAGAAAGCCCAAAAAGCAAACATTTTCTTAATGCAAATACAATTAGCAGACAATAAAAGTTGTTGATAAAATATGTGATGCGATCTAGGAAAACCCACCACATGGTGAAATTTTACCTTTTTAGTAAACCTGTCAGATTACTAAATCACGCTCTAGTGCACGTCTGTGTCGTATGATAAATTCTAGCGTTATTAATGATTTTTCTGTGGCATTTGTGAATAAACATAATGTTTCTGCCTTTGAAACCCCATCATCTTATTTGGACTCAGAGTCGCTGTTTTGTTCTTTTAATTCTGTATGTACAACTATTCTAGATGCTATTGCACCCTTGAAGGTGAGGCATGTAAAATCTAAGGCAGAACCCTGGTTTAATGATAATACACGAGCACTTAGACAAATCTGCAGAAGAGCAGAGCGTAAATGGCAGGCTCCAGGTGTCAAATGAAATGTTAAGGGAGTCCTTGCATACATATCAAAGTGCTGTTAAAGCAGCGAAGGCAAAATATTTCTCTGACATTATTGAGAGAAACTGTCATAGACCTAGAGTATTATTTAATACTATTAACTCTGTTATTAATCCACCTAATGTGATTGGGCCTGATGTTTCAGTGGAAACTTGTGAACATTTTAAGAGATTTTTAATTTCAAAGATTGAAAATATTAGATCTCAAATTCCTCCTGCTGTTATTAATCCATCTGTACATCTATATTGCCCTGTGGTGTTTGATAATTTAATCTCTGGCTTGGCAAAAATAGTAGAACAGTTAAAAGCCAACAGACTCCCCACTTGATAATGTTCCTCAAAACTAATCAAACAGGTTTTTTATAGTTGGGCCTAGTGTTTTATCTATTATAAATATTTGCCTTGTATGAGGGGTTGTTCCAAACCCTACACTTGTGGTGTTCCCGGTCAAAAATGACCCGGCCTCAAAATACAAAATGGCACAAAGTCACACTTGTGGTGTTCCCGGTCAAAAATGACTGGCCATTCAGAGTGAATGGGAAAGATTACAAAAAAGGACCTTTATTTTGAAATGCTTTTATTTTCTGTAAAGGGGCAAAAAGTGACACTTTTGCTGTTCCCTGTCAAATCTGAACATTGTGGCATACGAGAAAGAACACATTAAAGGGTTACTTCACCCAAAAATCATTAATTACTCACCCTCATGTCATTCCAAATCCGTAAGACCTCCGTTCATCTTCGGAACACAAATTAAGATATTTTTTATGAATTCTGAGAGCTCTTTGACCCTCCCATAGACAGCAATGTTATTACTACGATCAAGGTCCAGAGACGTAGGAAGGAGATCGGTAAAATAATCCGTGACATCAGGGGTTCAACCGTAATTTTACGAAGCTTCGAGAATACTTTTTGTGCGCAAAAGAAAACAAAAATAACGACTTTATTCAACAATTTTAATAAAATTGTTACCATTGGTGCCATTTTGGAGAGTATCCACTGAACGTAAACAGCGTATGCTATTCTGTGTCAGCTGCGTCACGCGGATACGATGTCTACGTTGTTTACGCTTTGATTTTAATGAAAACAATGTAACCGCGTGACACAGCTGACACAGAGTAGCATATGCAGTTTGCGTTCAGTGGATATTCTCCAAAATGGCACCAGGGTGACGTGGAGCAGACAAATTGTTGAATAAAGTCGTTATTTGTTTTCTTTGCGTACAAAATGTATTCTCGTAGAGGGTCAAAGAGCTCTCAGAATTCATCAAAAATATCTTAATTTGTGACTTTGTGTCATTTTATACAAAATAAAAGCATTTAAAAGCAAACTCCCGGATTAAACAAATAAAGTACACTAGTGTGATAAACAGTGCAAATTTTCTTCAGTTTTTATTTAATATTGTGAAAATTATTCATAAATAATGCTTTTTTTCACTCAAAAAATGAGGTGCCTACTCTCAGATAAATGAGGCCTACAATTAATCAGATGCAAATATAAATACAAAACCAGTCTAAATGGCCGGGTCATTTTGAGGCCGGGTCATTTTTGCACAGGAACACCACAAGGTGAAAAATCTCACCCAAAAAAGTATGAAAATTATCAATTTTTTTTTTAGAAGTAGTTATACCCTTTGTGAACAAAGTCACTAAATTTCAGTCCAATGCGATAACATTAACTAGTATTTTCGGGAAAAATAACATTTTCTTGGGGCAAAAAGGACCCGAACACCACATGAGGGTTAAACATGCTGTGGTGCAGCCTCTAATTAAAAACATTAATTTGGACTCTACAGTGTATTGCAGTTATAGACCTATTTCAAAAATGCCTTTTCTCTCAAAAGTGTTGGAGAAAGCAGTTCTCTTTTAAGTATTTAAGTCTGGGTTTAGGGAGCATCACAGTACAGAATCTCAGCTTTTAAAGTGCCCCAATGATGGATTTTTGAAAATTATCTTTCATGCAGTGTGTAACACAACATGAAAAGAACTTAGTTTAGTACTCACATGCCGTGTGACAGCCACACTTTGTGTGCGTGCTATGGATGTGTGCACTTAGAAAATTGTATATCAGAAGTTTAGACTGATATGGCATTAAAACACATGGTTTCAGCATGATAGACATGATAATCAAAACCAAACAGATGTTTTTAGCAGAGTTTCTGAGGTAGGAGCTGTAAAGGCACAACCCTATTCTGCAAAAGAGGGTGGGGAGCAGCAGCTCATTTGCATTTAAAGTGCCCCTATTATGGATTTTTGAAAATTACATTTCATGCAGTATGTAACACAGCTCTAAGTGAATGAAAACATCCTGCAAAGTTTTAAACCTGAAAGTGCACTGTGTATAAATTTATCTCTCAAAAGAAAGAGTCAACTCGGAGTCACTGAAACGAGTCGTTTTTCAAATGAATCTTTAGCCGTTTCATGTTGACGTCAACATGAAACATTTGCATATTTATGCCCGCCCTCTTGTTGCGTGCGCAGACCCGAGAAAACTTGATGGGCATTCCATTTCTCACATGTGCTGCACGCAGTAGACCAATCACAACAGACTGGGTCATCAGACCAATCACTGCAGATTAGCGTCACGCAAAGGAGGGGTTTGGAAAAATAAATCACTGAACGA